TTTTTTTTTTTTTTTAAAAGCAGCAAAACTCATGCTCGGGCAGCTACCCGCTGTGACCCCCTTCCCCCTTTCCAACTTCCCCCCCGCTTCTCTTAGGCCCCTACTGGCTGGCCCCGTGCCGCGTGGGAGAACTCCCGGGAGAGGGACTTCCCCGCACCACACCGCAAGCCACACCACCAAGCAAGTTATCCCTGTGCCCACACTCACTCCACTCAGTGACCAAACTCGGACCCTCTCCCGGACCTGCCCACGCAGCACAGGCCAGCCCCCTCTTTGCCAACTCAGGGGGGAATAACCACACAGGGAGGGAGGCCCACACACACGCACACACACACACTCACTCAAACAGAAACTAAGGGTGGGGTGCGACTCGGCCCGCGCCACCAAGCCGGGCCTCCTCCGCACCCCAAAATGAAAACCAAAAACCAAAATCCAGGCAGAGACTGCCTCTCCTCCAGTGCCTGGGATCCGCCGCGGCCGCTTGCAGAGGGTCCTCACGGTTCGCCGCTTGCACCGGCTTGGGACGGGGAAAGCTGAAGTTCCTGCTGAAGTTGATGTTTGCGGGATACGTCCCTCTTACCACTGGGGCTACGCCCCCGCTCGCCTCCTGCCCAGCCCGGGGTATGCAGCTCCCTCAGCCGTTGCCTTCTTCCCTCACTGGCACTGGTACTGCCGCTTCCGCCATCCCTTCCCTTCCTCGGCCGCTGTCACAGTCCCAGGCGTGCAGTCCCTGCCCCACACGCTCTCCACACACGCACCTAAAAAGAAATCCCCCCCACGGGATTCCTCCCAACGAAACAAAACCAAATCAAAATGATAACTAAACAGAAACCAAATGGGAAAACGAAACCAAGAAACGAAACACCGGCAAAACTTCTAAAGAAACGAAAACTTAAATAAACGAAAGGAAAACAAAATGAAACTAAACAAAACAAAACTACTCCCGAAAACTCAAAACCCCGTCTTAAAATCAACCAGGTTCTTTCCCAGCTGCCCGAACACCAACTGCCTCATCCCCTGCTCTTTTATCCTGATCCCCTGTGCGGAGAGAACAAGAGACAGCTGCGCCAGATCACCAATCAGGCAAAACAAGGGAGACAAACCACCCCGATCCACATACCGCACGCGTGCCCCCAATCACCAATGAAGAAAACTCACCCAAGCGGCACGTCAGGCTCACCTCCTGACACTAGTTTTCTGCTTACTCCTGTGCAGTTAGCAACTGGGACCACTACATTGATGCCCACATTGGGATGCAAACATAAGCCTTATTTTTTGTTTGTTTCTGCTCAGTTTTATTAATTTAAATTATTTCTTGTGAGTCTTTTAGCCTTTACCATCTTACTGTTATTTTAACTCGCTCTGCAGCTACCTCAGGTCTGATGGAAAAGCCATGCTGGTGAATTCCTGTTAATCATGTTAATGCTGTGTCTTTGCTCTCGAGCAACACATCTCCCTGCTGAAAGAAAATGCCATGATAGTGTGTCGCTTCTTCACTGTTTACCAATGAGTAGCAAGCAAAGGCACCACGTACAGCAATGAGCACAATCAGTGTGACATAAAGACCATTACAGTTTTTACCATTACAATCTGATTGGAGGAAGAAATCACATCCATGGCGCTTGGGTGGAGGGGGGGGGGGGTGGGTGAGGTTATGGTATCTGGGTTTTTGGGGGGTTATTACAGTGTTTGGGTGGAGGGAGGTAGGTGGGGTTGAGTCAGGCTTGAATCAGGGATGCGCTCATAGTCCTGTAAATCCTCTCAAATGTTATTTCATCTGCTGAGAGACTGGTTTTATCTCATGATGGTCTGTGATATTCTTTAGTATATTAGTGTGCTGGGATAGTATGCTGTAGTATATGTGTTTGTGCTGGTAGTGTATGAATTGTGTGTGTTTGGTAGGGAACTGTAGCATATGTTTGTACTAGGTGTTTTCCTGTGGTTTATGGAAAATGTACCTGATGAAGGCTGCTTTGTATTATTTTGGTTAAACACCATTTGAGAGCAAATAGAACAGTGTGGGACTGTCATTGTTTACTATAAATACACCAGCAGAGACTCCACCAACGAGGCCTTCCCTAACCCTACTCCAGGCCCTAATCCACTTTCTGCACAGAAGCGGGGTCCAGGTTAAGTGCCAATCAATGTTTGTCTCTTAGTGGTATTGGGCCGAGTGATTGTAGTGGATATGAAAGAGAACTTAAATCCCAGTAATCACATCTTACTCACAGTAAGGGCTAGGGAAATCTGCTGCCACAGTTACTGAGAGATCACATCTAACTCACAGTAAGGGGTAGGGAAATCTGCTGCCACAGTTACTGAGTGATCACATCTAACTCACAGTAAGGGGTAGGGAAATCTGCTGCCACAGTTACTGAGTGATCACATCTAACTCACAGTAAGGGTTAGGGAAATCTGCTGCCATAGTTACTGAGTGATTACATCTAACTCATGCAATAGTGAGATCAGTGACAGCAGCAACTGAGTCAGTGTCACGGCCTATCTTCAAAACTCCCATTTTGACAGCTGTCTTTTTACCCATGAGATAGCTTGCCTCTTCCTTTTATCACCAGGAACTCAGCCTGTTCAGCTCTGTTATTCACCTCTATATCACAAGTGAATCTCCTTAGAACTGGCAACCCTTCAGTTGAACAGTAAGGATACACCTCTCTGCCATTTTATCTTTCCTCACTCATTTTTTTCCATGTCTGTTTACTTATAACATGACTGGTTGCACCAGAATCAATCAGCATGCTCAATTTACACCACCTATAAAAACTGAGTCTAATGTTTTGTTTCTCTCAATCACAAAAGCCAATCTATCAACTGCATTTTGTTTCTTTGAGCTCTTTATGCAGCACATTTTGGGGAAATGATCCTTTGTGTCACATTATTGGCATATTTGTCCTCATGCTGGACATTTTGAGTCTGTGCCCACATTGTCAGTTTGTCCACTTCTGTAACATTTCCTCTCTGATTTTCCCTCACTGCTATTTGATTTGTCTCTAGAGAATTTGCCTTGTTTTACTCTTTTCCATGTGATGCAACAGTTCAGTTTCTGGTTTAGATGTGCCTGGTGAAATGGATTCCATTTACTCCTCCACTCTCTCACATTGAACAGCAATTTGCATGGCCCATGCACACTTATTTTCACTTCCTTGATCCCTGAAACACCTAATAATATGGGTACCCACAGGTACCACACCTAACTCAGCCCAATACACAACAATACCTATTGGCAGATGTACCGGAAAGATCTTCAGTGATAACTGGTCTCAAAATCCTTTCTGCATTCAAACTGAATATTCAGTTCAACATGACAACAACAATACAGAGTCCAGAATCAACTCACAGCCAGAAGAAAAGAGCTAGTGAGTCTGTTCAACAAGACAATGGTGAGTACAGTCTTGATAATATGCAGGAAAGTCCAGTATGTATCAAAACTGAGCCACTGCCATTTCACCAGCATCAAGAACATTATAAGTCTGTTCCAACTGTAAGCAGTTTTCACATGCCTCTCAAGGAAACTATGATAGCTGACTGAAACTCATCAACTCACGTAAGACCAGTCTTCATACCTGAGGTTTTGGAAATGTTAATGATTCAATCTGTTCATATACAAACAAGTGTTACTTTCATTTAAGACAGAACGAGCAGAGGTATGACAGAAAAGGTACCAGTGCCTTCCAGTGTGATGAGATTTAAATTACACTGAATGCTTATTCTGTGATGGTCTATCATGGAATTACAATTATATTATAATATTTCATATTACAATATTATATTAAATATACTCACCATGGATAATGTATCCCAAGAGATACATTTGCTTTGAGCCTTTTCTTTTTAATCATTTACTATTTACAACATTCAGTTTGTGTTTCTTTTAGCCTTTTTACTTTTCAAGTTAGAAGGGTATTGGTAGTAAATTGCTAGTAAATTGTCGGTTTTCAACTGTTAATTTTGTTTGGTATAGTTAGCTTGTTAGCCACAAAACATTTATATAACCTGTATAACTATATTACTGTTTTTTTATATCTACTGAAGGTTGAAAAAGGTATGATTTCTTCTTCAGTTTAATAAATCACTATTTGGGAAAGGCTTACATCTACCTCTTTATTCTATTTGGTCAGCTGGCTTAGCACTTAGCCTGCTCCTAGCTTTTGTGTTGCTCCACCTTGTTATTTTGTTATATTTGTGACATATTGTTATATTTGTTTCACTTAAATATAACAAAAATTTGATAGAGACAATGACCCTGTGAGCTACTCAGAGGCCCCACAGCATTTATTATTAATATACCTCTCAATGTTGCACTTTCCTAAGGAGGGTGATTTTGGACAGATATTTAACACACTGATTTTTATCTATGTGTTAGATAAAAAGACGCATTAACTATGGACTGCAGACTGGATAATACACTCACTGAGCATTTTATACTAATACTGTCAGGGCTCAGGTAGGACTCAGATGTGGACGTAAATGTTAAGGGTTTTATTAACAGAAGCCAAAGTCCAAAATCCAGAAATGTAGTCAAAAAATAGGCAATGGTCATGACCAGGGAGTCTCACTGCAGCCTGTTCTTGGCTGACAGAAGTGGAACCCGACGTGGGCTTCTCCATCCGCCTCAAGGTTCAACATGTTGTGCATTCTGAGATGCTTTTCTGCTCACAATTGTACAGAGTGGTTATCTGAGTTACTGCAGCCTTTCTGTCAGCTCGAACCAGTCTGGCTATTCTCTGATAACCTTTCTCATCAACAAGGCATTTCTGTCCACAGAACTGCTGCTCATTGGATGTTAATTGTTCTTTGCACCATTATGACTAAACTCTAGAGACAGTTGTGCATGAAAATCACAGGAGATCAGCAGTTATAGAAATACTCAAACCAGCCTGTCTGGCACCAACAATCATGCCACAGTCAAAATCACAGAGAGCACATTAAATGTGCTTGATGAATGTATATTGTAAGATGAGGTTTTTCCATGTTCAAGGAATTGGTATTAGCTCCTGGGGTTGAACCAGGGACCTCTTGATCTGCAGTCAAATCCTCTACCACTGAGCTATACCCCCTTCATTTATGCAAAAATTATGACATACATTAATATTTGCATGAACTTATATGAACATGTCCTTTCAATTTTAGTATATGTAGATTTCTATGGGGGAGCCATATTTGGGGATGAAGCTGTTGTTAATACATTTTTATTTAAATGTATCAAATGAAAATGTAATTTAAAGAAAACTAAATGTAAGCTTTAATAAATATGAAAAGCGTTTTAGTATACTTGAAGTAGAGCTGTAGTCAGTGCAGTTTGTGTGGGTCCCACTTCTAACAGGAGCATGAATTAGGTCAGTGGTGAACATGGACCTTTGAGCTCCACTGAGTCTGAGTGCACTGAGTCTACTGCCCACTTGCAGTACATGCAGAGGAGAAAACCACAAGCCATTTATACAACAAGAGAAGCCACAGAAAAGACATCACTACTTCCCAGTTAAAGCAAACTTCCCAGTTAAACTTCCCCGCCTACGGGTCCTGAGGTCGGGGGTTCGATTCCCGGCTTCACCATTCCCAGCCATAGCCAGAGGTCCCATTGGCGAGGAAACAATTGGCCAGCCTCGCCGGGGTTCGATACGGGGTAGTTCGGCCTAACCCCCCATTGGCCTCATCACAATAGCTCTCTACTTGTCATGCTTGGGCGCCTGCGGAGGCACGAACCGACTGTACGCTGACTACGTCTACGTGACTAAGCCAGGTGAATGAGGTAGCATCATGACAGCCCTGCTAGAGTCTGAGGGGATTTTTTGTTGCCTACAGCCTTTACTTTTGGTTTGAAGATGTATATTGTTCAAGTTGATACTCAGGGTTCTTCCACTGGAGCACCTTAGTGTGACCATAACAGACAGTGATGGTGTGTTTCATAAAATATGGCAACCTTTAATTGACTGCTTAACAAAATCAGATTCTTACTCTAAAGGATAACAGTTGTTGGTGAAGGTTATATACCATAAAAGGAAGTATGTGTGGTAATCACATTTAGTTCAGAAATGATGGCATTCATGAGGACATAAGACACTCACTGTAGACATACATGCACTATGAGGAAGAAATGTGTTGTCTTTAGCATTGTCGAGTGTGCAAACCTTCATGAAAAAACAGATTCAATCTCTGTTACGTTAATGAGTGATACCACTGCACAGGAAGGCTGTTGAAGGAGAGAAACAATAGGCTAGTATTAACTCCAACTGTGAAACAAATATTGAGTTTTGATCAATAAGCAAAAATTGTGGCATGTATCTTCATATATGAAACAGAATGGCAGTAGTGCCCCTGAATTTAATCTGAATGGCTAAAAAGAAACAAAATGAAAGTTTCATCATGGCCTGATCAATGGCCTGCCATGATCTCAGTAGACATGCTGTGTCAGGACCTGAAGAGCCGTTCTTGCCTGAATATGTACCAGTTTGTCAGAAATACAGGAGATCTGTAAAAAGTTGTGGGCTAAAATCTTTCACAACAATGTGAAAGACTGATATCAGGTTATAGGAATGTTTGGTTGGTGTAGTGAAGGGCAGGGTTCCTCCTGCAAACTGTGCCTGCTCCTTCTGATCCCTAAGGTGTGGTTAAACTGTAGGGTGATCGCCATGGGGTGTCAGCAAGAACACGAAGACAGGTTTCCATGAACTCCCTCCAGTGCCTAAAGGGTTGACTCCAGAGTGTCCTCCAGTGTAACTTGAGACCAGGGGAGAAATTAAAAATCTTTTCAAAAAAGGCAACATGGTAAAAAAATGTTTTTTGAGAGGAGAGTTTTGGCATGGAAGTTTGATGTTTGAGAAGATGAGTGCGAAGTTTTATTTTTGTACTTAGAGTATTGGGAAATGCCGCATAATTAAAAGAGATGTGCCTTAGCATTCAAGAAAAGCTGTAATAGGCCCAGTTATAGTGTGTAAGCAATCGAGAAAAACTGTAATAGTGAATAAAATGAAGTGTTTGGTGTGGCTGTTTATCTGCTGGTGTGCAGGGATGGGCACTATTTCTGATATTTATATTTAAAATACAAAACACTAGAGATGCACAATCTGGATTTTTGTGATTAATCAGATAACCAGTTGATCATCATCATGATCGGCCGATTTTGATTCTGATCACCGCTCCTTTTGTTATATTAAAAGTTGCATATTTCATGGCTATTCCACAAGCATTGGTGCATGATGGTAAAAAGTTGAATTCCAGACACTTTTTACACTTGCTTCATATAGGCCTATTGCTCTTATGACTTAGATGAAATGGATACCTGGAGCGGTTCCATTCACTGCCCTGCAGGCTAGCACACAGGTTTTATATTTGATTTGAGCTGTAGAAGGTAGCTAGTCAAGTGAGATGTGGAGGGGTGTGTTTGTGTTTATTCAGTGTGACTATAGCGTAGGTTGGTCTGTGTATGTTTATTCCTTGTGACTAAGGAGTATGTGCTGTATGTCTGTATGTTGCTTATTTAGTGTGACTGTGGTGTAAGTCTTTATTTTTTCCTGTATTCATTAAGTGAGTTGTTATTTTGTGTCTCTACAGGTCGTCTGATCTGGGACAGAACACTCTTATGGTCGCATCGAGTCAGTCATATTCTGTTCCAGACTCCCGAGACAGGTTGAGCCGTTTATAAAATGAGTCTCTCTGGGGAGCCAGAGACCAGCGCTGGAACCTCAAGCCCTGACAACAAGAGGTATAAATGCACAAATCAGATATTGTGGTGGAGTGGTAGGCGTGGACACTGAGCTAGGCGGTGAGTGGAAGGCAAAACACAACAAAAATGTCAACAAAAATGGGCCGAAGGCCTTTTATTTGCCTCCTTCTGGGGCCGATATCCTAAAACCAACAAATAAAAACAGATATAAATTTCATAAATGAAAACACAGCACAGCCATGGAAACCACAAACAAAAGCCTAAAATGATATAAGGCCTAATTCAATGCAAGTGCTAGCACCTGGATTGATTACAAGTCACCATCAGATAAGTCTGCCTGTGAGTGAGGCCACTGCTGTTGGCTCTCCAGGCTGACAGAGGGAACCAGGAGACTGACAGCAGTACAATGGGAGGAGCCAAGGAGCTTGCTCCTCCCTCCACATCTCCTGGCACCACAACTTAAATTTACATTACATTGTGTTTGTATCTGCAGCACAGTTTAAGTTAACATAATTCTCATCTGATGTATTTAGTGCCATTTGTATTTATGGTAGAAACAGCCTTATCACCCTAACCACTTCTAATGTTGACTAGGAGCAGATGTGGGCTTGATTAGTACTTGGATGGTAGACCCCCCCCCCTCAAAATTGCTGCTGGAGGGGGTGTTGGTAGGCCAGTAGGGGACATTCTTCCTACTGGAGCAAAGAGAACCCCAAAAGGTAGAAGGAGCCATCCAACGGAAGCAAACTGAACTGAGGTCATGAGTTGTCGTGGTGATTAAAGATCCCACTGTGTTTTTCAGAGGAGTATGGATATTAACGACGGAAGCCTGGTTAATTTGACATAACAAGTGGCTGTCTGCATCGAGTAACCTGTATTACCACTGTAACTGATTGGCTATTATGGTGGAGGGAGAAGCAAGCCCATCTGCTCCTCCCCCTTGGATTGCTGTCTGTTCCAATTCCCTCCCTCAGCCTGGAGAGACTGCGGCTGCGTTCCAATACTTTTTCTCGTCTCCTCCTTTCCTCCCCTCCTTTCCTACCCCGGAAATACGCCGGAAATATGTGGAGGAAAGGAGGGGAGGAAAGGAGTGGAGGAAAGGAGGAAAGGAGGAATGAATCGAATATTGGAACAGCTAATCCGATTCGCCCGTCATCAAAGTCGACGTCGGCTATTGATGAAGTAATAATTTCGACTGACTCTGACGATACCAAAGCCAATTAAAATATTCAGTGGGATGGTCTTTTAATCTGACTGGTCGTGAGCACTATGATGTCACGCAGAAATGTGAAAAGACTTCCGCGGTAGGATACATCGATGTATCCTCCGTTTGGAGGAAACGAAAAAGAAGGAAAGGAGGAAAGGAGGAGGCGAGATTGCGCTTTGGAACAGTGGAGGAAAGGAGGACACATAATCAGCTTCCGGGGCACGGAGGAAAGGAGGGGAGGAAAGGAGGAAAGGAGGAGACGAAATTGAGTACTGGAACGCAGCCTGCAGGAAGTTGCACAACAATAGTCTCATGAACAGACAGGTACAGCTGGAGGTGATTTCCAATCAACTCAGGTGCTAGCACTCACCTTCAATCAGGCCATTTATTTAAGCACAGCCTTTCAGACTGGAAAAGGTCTGTTGTTATTTTGGTTTTTGGTGTTGTTTCCCAATGGCTGTGCTGTTTCTGAGTTTTGACTGTTTTGTAGTTTTGTGTTTGTTCTTTGTTTTGTATTTCCTTTTTCCCCCTAAAAGGGGTAAATAAACGGCCTTTGGCCCGTTGTTATCGAACATTTGTTGTGTTTCCTCTTCCGCTCATCACCCAGCCCAGTGGCCACAGCTGCCACTGCATCACACTATATAGTCCTTATCCAAACTGATTCTGCAGGTCATAACTGCAAAAGACAAGTTAATTCTCAGTTGGTTAAGTAAAGCATGAATTGTAAAATCAATTTGAGGTTAAATGAAACCTCCTTCTCCATGTGACGTGAGTTAGAGCTGCAGTAAGAGGATGAGGTTAACTGGAAGCTCTGTCTCCATGTACTGTGAGTTAGAGCTGCAGTAACAGGATGAGATTAAATGGAAGCTCTGTCTCCATGTACTGTGAGTTAGAGCTGCAGTAACAGGATGAGATTAAATGGAAGCTCTGTCTCCATGTGCTGTGAGTTAGAGCTGCATTAAGAGGATGAGGGAAACTGGAAGCTCTGTCTCCATGTGCTGTGAGTTATAGCTGCAGTAAGAGGATGAGGTTAACTGGAAGCTCTGTCTCCATGTGCTGTGAGTTAGAGCTGCAGTAAGAGGATGAGGTTAACTGGAAGCTCTGTCTCCATGTGCTGTGAGCTAGAGCTGCAGTAAGAGGATGAGGTAAACTGGAAGCTCTGTCTCCATGTGCTGTGAGTTAGAGCT